CCACCCTTTACCCTGGCCCCCTCTCCCATCTCTGTGTCTACTCAGCTCTGTGGCTGAGGTTCCCGTCTGTAAAGCCTGTTGCCACAGGATACAGAATTCACTGGGGCGGAGGGAAAGCTGCATGTGTGTGTTTAAGGTTGGTGGCTCTTGGAATCAGATAAACATTGTAGAAAGCTTGCTCATTCATGTGGAAGAGCCAGTGTTGCAGCTAAATGGTGGAGCTGTGAGCTGCTGGGCTCCAGGCTCTGGCATCTGTGCGTTGGGCCTGGTCAGCCTGGAGCATTTTTATTTGTGATACCAAAAGAGTTGATGAGCATTGCCACTTCAGCCATTCAACAATAACAAAACCTTTATTTCAACAAAACAAAACTCTTTATTTCAGCCCCATAGAAGAAAGGTTATAGCTCACTTTTTTTCTTTTCTTTTATTTTTCTTCTTCTTCTTTTTTTTTTGGTATATATGTGTGCCATGAGTGCTGCATGTGTGTGTGTGTGTGTATAGATGGGGTCTCGTTGTGTTGCCTAGACTGCTCTCAAACTGCTGGCCTCAAGACATCCTCCAACTTTAGCCTCCAGAAGTGCTGGGATTACAGGCATAAGCCACTGTGCCTAGCCTTTTTTTTTTTTTTTTTTTCTAAATTAAATGATGAAATTGGTCAAACAGGAAATCCCATGCAACTTTACACACAGTCAAGTACGTCCTATATTATCACAGTCTCTGGTGTTTTTCTTTTCACTCTTGATCTCTTTTATATAACCTCTCTTCCCTTCTAAGAAATCTCTGTGATATCCAAGACTTTCACTCCCATGTAAGTTTGGCAGCCTGTGATTCTGCTCTCCTCCTGGTGACATCAGTCTCGAATGAGCAGCAGTGCAGGCAGATGCCCTGAAGAGTTCTGAGTATGGCCTGAGTTTTGAGAAGAGGAAGCTTCTCAATTCCTGCCATTTGGTTGGCCATGATTTGGCTTCCTAGGCCAGCTCTGTCTTCACCTGAAAACCCTACTCAGCACTGGGGACAGAGATCTCTTTAGCCATGGGATACCAACTTTTAGAACTAGAGCTAGAACTTGAGAGTTCACTTTGTCGCTCTTTCTTGTGCCCCTCCAAGAAATACACATTTCCTTAGAATTGTAAGTGTACTTGCATTTTATAAGCTGAAAGCTCAGAGTACCTTTACCCTTCACGAGCACAACCTTATTGGGGTTATTTGGGTTGTATTAGTTAATCTTTCCTACACTCAAACAGTTTGCCTATTTTGACAGCCTGCTGGCCTCGGCAATAATAAAGCTTCTGTCGAGGTGAGCAAACAGCTGATGGCTTAGGCGCACAGAGGGGGCTCCTACAGTGGCTGTCTGTAATCTGCCAGGCTGGTGGTCAGAGCAGGCAAGAACAAAAGCCAGTCTGTTTGCAGTCAAATTGGAAAATCAATGTGTTAGTTGTATTTTCTCTTTGCCTTTCTCCTGGCAGGAAAGGAGAATGCTCTTCCAGCAGTCCACAGAATAATTCCAGGCAAGTGCCCATTCCAAAGACTCACTCACCTGTCATATTACTACTGGAAGTTAAGAAGTCCTTAAGTTTATTTGTCTGAACTGCTTAAAAAGTCACCAACAGGAATTTGTCTCAAACTTGCCATCCAAAATTGAACCTTGCTGGCCCAGTGTTTTGACTTGTTTATATTCCAGATAGCCACTCAGATAAGTTTCTCTTTTTAATGCTGATGGGGGCCTAAAAAGGAGTTCATTTACTGCCTGGGTGGGAAATTCAGGAATTGCCCTTTGGGCAGCACATTTTATGGTATGTGTGTATTTCACTGCTATTCCTCAATATATTTCTTGTGAGAGTTCATTGAAAATATCCTAGGCTGGGCACAGTGGCTCATGCCTACAATCCCAGCTCTTTAGGAAGCCAAGGTGGGAGACTCACTTGAGTCCAGGAGTTTGAGACCAGCCTGGACAACATAGCAAGACCCTGTCTCTACAGAAATAAAGAAGGAGGCAAAGGCAGGAGGATCGCTTGAGTCCAGGAGTTCAAAGCTGCAGTGAGCTGTGATCTTGCAACTGCATTCCAGGCTGAGTGACAGAGTGAGACCTTATCTCTCAAAACGTTTATAAAATAAAAAAGAAAGAAAATGACCTAGACATAATTGGGTCTAGGATTGTTAGGGCTTAGAGAGCAGAGCTTATACCAAGTAGCCTTGTCCAGGATAGGAGAGGGAGGAGACTTATTAAAGACTTCTCTGAGTCTCTTGACAAATATCTCAAAGGGCTGCTGTGCAGAGATGGTTATACTCAATGTGTGAAGTCTTGAGTAACTTTCCCTTCAGGCTTCTAAGAAAGTCTGTGAAGGAAGGGCTTTTGAGAAGAAAAGACTTTACTGCTCTTCTATATGCTGAAGTTAGCCTTAGAAGCTTAGCAAATGGCTTTAAATGCGTTTTAATTTGAACTTTGAAGGTCTAAAGCTAGGCTCTCATTATCAGTCTTTGTTATTTTTCAAAGCCTAAAAGTGATCTGCTGATCATGAATAAGAGAAAGGTATTTGGTTAGATATGGTCCTGGTGTTCTTATTGTAAAGTTCATTATCAAAGAAAAAATTACAACTTTAGTGGTCACTGGAAGCATCCTGAACCAGATGCTTAGATGTAAAATGAGGATTAGGTCTAAAATAATCTTGAGTGAGAGTGGTAATTGGCATTCGATATATTTTTTTTCCTGAAGTCATTACCAAAAAATTCATATTTTGTTGTTTCTTTTTAAAGGAAAAATTGACTAAACCCAACAACTACTACTACCAAAAAACCCTTCAGTCTCCAGCGATCTCTTTTTGTCTTTGGTACTTATCATGCCCCACCGTTTGTTATTATTAAATTATGTGTGCATCTTTTTTGTAATGAGACTATAAATGCCCCAAACAGGGAATTTACATGTCTTCATATATACCATAGACATTAACAAAATGATTGGTGCATAGTAGCATTTAATACCAGTGTTGATTAAAGCTCTTTTTTAAATTAGCTAAAAACCTATGGGCCAAGAATTGTGTCAGTACAGAAATCAGTATTGAGCAAGTCAGTCTCTGTCTCTGTTAACCCAGGAATTTACAGGGTGATGAGTAGGCATCACCATCATTGAGGCAGTATACCCGATATTTTACTTGACTTTTTTTCTTTATTTAAATTAATTTTTAGTTGGTCATTTCATTTTAAATCTCAGATTTTTCAGAGAAAAAAGAATCAAGTAGCTAAACTATTGATTTGAAAATGTTGCCTGGGCAACACAGGAAGACCCTATCTCTACAAAAAAATTAGCTGAGTGTAGTGGCATGCACCTATACTCCCAGCTACTCGGGAGGCTGAGGAGGAGAGATCGCTTGAGCCCAGGAGTTAGAGGTTATAGTGAGCTAGGACTGCACCACTGCACTCCAGCTGGGGCAACAGTGAGATCCTGTCTCAAAAAATAAAAATACAAATATAAAAACAAATGTGAGCAAAAGCATGAAATACTAAAAGGTATATTTTGTTTCATTTCTTTGCAGAGGAACTTATAAGATTGAGAATCTAGGGCCCCTGTACAGGGTCTTTCTCTGGCCAGGTCACTCATCCTAAACTGAATTTGACGAAATTCTGTTTTTTAATGGGCTAATTTGTAGAGAAAAATAGAGTGAGACATTTTCCAGCAAAACCTAACATGTTTAAGAGAATCAGGTGACCTAGAAGACCCTAAATCCATAAAACATCTTTGGATCTTATTTTTGCCAAATCTCTCACCAGAGCACTAATAGATATCCTAAGTTAAATACTATTTCTCACGTCCTCTTCCTTTCTTAGCTATTACTTTGGCAGAGAACCTGTTCAGTGGAAACTATCCCGATAGCAGATGGCAGGAAATAACAGGAAGCAGACTGAATAATCAGCCTCTAAAAGCCACTACAATTCATCTGCACCCATGACTCCCAAATATGGCATGGACTCCTTTAGGTTTTTGTTTCACCTTTTTCTTTTTAAGAAGAGTTTGATTAAACTCTTAACTTGTGGGGGCCCAGCGATTGGCCTGCTTCCCGAATGATTAAGGAAAACCTGGGGACTTCAGCTAACATGATACAGTATATGAGGGTCCATCCTAATCAAAGTAGATAAATAAAAAGAGGGACTACAGAGCCCTTTCCACCCCATCTCACAGCCCAGTCTCTGCTCTGAGTCTTGTCACGGACCCCAGGAACTAGGAGCAGCAGCTTCCATTCCAGGTGTTAGCAGTGTGTGTGAACTCAGGCAAAAGCAGCATTTGGAATTCCTTTCCAAGCACCATTCCTTTGTGGGTATACTATTACTGTATGTAACTCATCCTGGACTGCTTCAGACTTTTAAGACCCTGTGGGGAGCTATAGGAAGTAAGGGATAAACTGACAAGCTGCAGTGGAGCTATGAAGAACAGTGTGGGATTGTGGATCCTGGAGGGCATGAATGTTAAGTTTTACTCAACTTTTATTTCTTGGTTTCCTGTTATTCCTTTTATTTCCTCTGTTTTCCTTTGACTCCCGTCTCTCCTAAGAGCCACAAGAAATCCCACTGTTACTCAAAGCTGATTCTCCTCTACAGAGTTGCTGTGCTATCCTATTTTTCATTTTCTTCATCTGTTTTAAACTTCCAAAGTTTCAGCTTAAGCTTCGCATCTCTTTTCTAATGAAACATCTGTTTACATAATGCCATGATTAGTATTTTTCCCAAATTATTTTTCATAATTCTGTTAAAATAAGATGTTGAAGCAAGGGGTATAAGGAATACAATTTTGGTAAATTTTTTTTTTGTTATTTGTTAGTTTGCCTTCTCTTTACCATTTCAGACTTTGTGGTTAATGAGTTTCATTCTCAAGTTTTTGTCAGCTGTTAACGTTTATGAATTTCTGTCACATTACACTCTGTAAATATCTAAGAGAAGAACCTGTTGATGGAAGATGTGTTTTGATATATAAGAGAACACCAGTTTTCTCTCTTCTTGTGCTTATTTAGATTTCGACACAGCCCCAACAGCTGGTACCTGAGAAACTGGACCATCCACACCTGGATTAGGCAGTGTCTAAAATATGATGCACAAGACAAAGCCTTATATACCCTTATAAATAAGGTGAGTGGTTCTGCGGATCTGCAGCCTGTTTTCCTGAGTTTAGATGACATGGTGTTTGTACCTATTATGACACAGCAAAGAATAACACCAGAAGTAACTTTTAAAAATTATTTGGCCTTAAATATCCTTCTTATTAACAGAATGAGGTGGGTATAAGTTCATTAATAAATTTTTTTTAAATCCCGTAGCTGCTGCTTTTCTAAACATAGTGACTCAGAAAAGGACAGGAATAAGCAAAAGGTAGTCTAATCAGAAGAACTCTGCACTGGTGGTCATTTCATTCTTTATTGCTAAGCCTTAAATTTCTTGCCTGTGTCCTCTGCTGAAGTTCAGGGGGAGAACCTGACCATGTTTGCTCCTATGTCTTTTGAGTCCCTGACTGCTCCCGTCAAGCCTGAGAACACTCTAGGATTAGGATCTTTCTGACTTTTACACCACCCAAGAGTTGAGTCTTTCTTACCTTCCTACTGTATACAGTAAATACAAAATAAACAGAAGTTTAGAATGTTATTATTGTGAGTCTGAAGCTAAACATTAGTTTGAACCATAAAGACATTTTAACAGTCTTTTTATGAAAATGTATTATGCCTGTAATGTCACTGGACCCTGAAAGTTAGCATTGAAAAGGAATACTGATTTTGTTTTTGAGTCCCCCTTCTGTGCAGAATAGTTTTATTTCCATGACTTTGGCCAAATTCAAATTAATATATATTATGCACAGTTTGTGAGACATTGGTTATTGATAGTGGATACAAAAATGAGTAACGTTCTGTCCTTGTCCTCAGGAAACTTATAATTTAATAAGGCAGATAAGCAGGATTACTTATAAATTTAATATTAGGCAAATGTAAGTGCCATGCAAGAATATTTGTAAAGGTCAGGGACTGTGGCTCATGCCTTGTAATCCCAGCACTTTGGGATGCCAAGATGGGAGAATCACATCAGCCCAGGATTTCAAGGCGTATAGTCCCGGCTACTCTAGAGGCTCAAGTAAGAGGATCACTTGAGCCTACGAGGTCGAGTCTGCGTTGAGCTGTAATGAGATCACAGCATTCCAGCCTGGGCAACAGATTGAGACCTTGTCTCCAAAAAAAAAAGTAAAAACAGCTTGGAGAATTAAGATGAAGGAATCCGATTGGAAGGAAATAATTAAAAGAGACATGAGGTACCATTTAAGATGGTCACGAAAAGATGCATGCTTGCACATGGAGATGCGCTGACACAAACAGTATTAGCAGAGGCATAACTGGGTGAAAACAAAGACTCAGTTTGAGCAGTAATACATTGCTTTTTTGCCTGGGGTATAGGTATGTTAAGGGGAAGTGAGGAAGGGAGTAAGAGAGCTAGGTCCCTGGATAATGGATTAAATCTTGTTTTCTTCCGTTTAGAGTATAGTGACACAGATCACACTCAAAGATTTCTATGATAACAAAACTAGGAGGGTCTAGAACAGCAGACCGACACCTGTCTCATTTTTGCTGCTGCTTGAATCTTTTAGTAGAAAGGACATCAAACTAGAAATCAGAAAATCCAGGCTGTAGCCTCACAGGTTCCACTGGTTGCTGGTAACTTTAGGCAAATAATTGTATTATTTTAGATCTTAGTTTTTCCAACTCTAAGTCAAGGGGGTTGTAGTATATCAATGATTTCTAACTCTGGCTGCCCATTAGGGTCACTCAAGAAGCTTTCTAAAAATTGTAGATGTTTGCCTCTGCTACTGAAATTCTAGTTTAATTGATCTGTCTGGGGCCCAGGCATTGGAACTTTAAATTTTTTTTTAATAAATTTAAAATTTTCTATCAGTTTTGGGTTCACAGTGTAGGGGAGGAAATTTATTTTCTTTCCCTTTTTAGGTTCTTAGTTGAGACGCTCTGCTGAAAACAGAAGTCAGATTAACAAAAGAAAAACAAGCAAAAGTTTATTAACACATGCTGTACTCATCACACAGGAAAGGCATCAGTTCAAAAGCATTTCTATCTCAAGGCAGTAGTGTAGTATTTTGCTGAAATAGTATTTCAGCCAAGAGCCATAAATCCTATACAGTGACAAGACAAAGGAGGGAAAAGTTCTAGTCTTTAAAGGTGGGAAAATGTGGGAAGATAGTAAAATCTGTTCTCAGATTCCTCTGGTTCCTGCTGGTGCCTTCTCTGGGCTGAGAAACAAGTGCTGTTCTAGGAAGGAAGAATTTATGTGCTGCCATCGGGCAAATGGAGGCTAAAGAAGAGTGTTCCCCTGCATTTTCAGTGTCTTTCACTGAACATCCTCAATTATTTTGGGGAGAAATATTTTTGTTTCCTTCAACAGCAAAACTGAGTGGAAAGTACGAAGATTTTCTACATACTTCCTGCCGCAGCACATGCATAGCCTCCCTCATAATCAACATCGTGCCCCTGGGTGGTACATTTGTTACAATTGATGAGCTTACATTGACAAACTCTTGTCACCCAAAGGCTCTAGTTTACATTAGGGTCCACTCTTGATGTTGTACATTCTGTGAGTTTGGACAAATGTATAATGACATGTACCCATCATTGTAGTATCATACAGGATAGTTTGCCCTAAAAATCCTCTGTGCCTCGCCTATTCATCCCTCATCAGTTTTTTTTGTTTGTTTGTTTTTTAAAGCTCTCATTTGATTCTCGTTTACAGCCTAGGTTGAGAATCACTGACCATTTGATTTCTAAAATCGCTTTCAGCTTTAATGACTTATCACCTTAAATATTTTGTTTTTACCCTGCCTTAGGGATTAATACTGATTTGGATGACTGCTTTGAGAAATATAGACACTGGCCATGAGCTACAACCTATGAAACAGTGGTTTTTAGACAATTTTTTCATTTCAGCACACCTGAGACTCCTATATATAACTCCTGGAAACAGTGAATCAGTTCAGCGGTGATTCACAATTCAGGTGTTAGGACTGTATTAAAATCTCCCAAGGGGATATGGATATAATTTGGAAAAATTCCTCAGGTGTTTCTACTGGTTGCAAGAGGGAGGAATGGAGCCCTGTGGGGTATGGTGGTTGACCTTACTGAAGAATTTGAAACAAATAAAAATGCAGCCATAATCTGGATCATTGGTAGTAAAATGAGTATGCATGAAAATCACAAGAACCTCACTAAAATTTCAGGTTTCTGTGCCCAATTTCCAGAGATTCTGATTCTGTAGGTCTAAGACATAGGAATTTATCAGCTCCTAGAAAATCAACATTCTGCAGTTGCTAAAGGGATCCATATTTTAAGAAATCTGAATTCTCAAATATTGAATTGTGTGACACAGCATTCTAGAAAATTTGGAGTAAATGTTTGTTGGCATATTTCTTGGGACCTTAAAAGCCAAACTAAGAACCAGAAAATGCTGTGTAATGTGTGCTTTCCCATAAAAGTCTGTTTTGGCATTGTTATTCATACTTTATAAAAAGAGCCACTGAACCATTTGGGGGCTTATGTGGGTTTCTTTCTTTTCTTTTTTTTTAAAGCTATGATGAGGTGTTAGAATTGGGGCTTTATTTTTTACATATCAGTTCTCTTATCAGACACCCACTCAAAACTTTCTCTCTCTGACCAGCAGTTCTGGTTATCAAACCTCATGAGTCATGGCTACTATTTCACTGTTACAGATGCTGTAAAAGGATAGTCAAATATTTTAAAGCTAATGCTGGCAAGTTTTATTCTGAGTAATACATAGACATACATTACAGACTAAATTAGATAATTTTCTCTTTTGTTTCCTGTTATGTTCATTTTCATTATAGGTTCAATATGGAATTTTTCCAGATAACTTTACATTCAATTTACTGATGGATTCTTTCATAAAGAAAGAAAATTACAAAGGTAAGAAACTAAGCCCAGATTCCGTGTGTATAGGGCTTCCAACTCCCAAAGGGAGGTGTACAAATCTAAGACCTTCCCCTTTCTTATTCCCTAATAACATCTCTTCATCACTCTTTTAGTCAGAAAAGTTTTGATGATTATCATTTATGCAAAATTTTAAAAAATATTATTATTTTTATTTTTACTAAGAAAATATCAAAGTACATAAATGATTATAGAGGAAAAGTAAGTTAATTATACAGGCCAATCTAATTTCACTTCCCAAACTGACTGAAATCCAGACTATAAATAAAGGATAAAGTAAATTTATTTTTCAAGTATAATTTTGGCTTCAGTAACGAACGGTTGGCAGAAATGAGATTTTTTTTTTTAACTGAATTTTGAGCCTATGCTCTTTTAAAATATTACTGGTTTGTTTGTTTATGTAAAAGAAAATCCCTTCCAGGTTCTTACTTTTCTGTTGACTTATTAGTTGACTACCGGGTCTGCCTGTCTATCTCAGTTTCCCCGTTTGCAGAAAGAACATAGAAATTCATGCTTGTGGCCCCATTCAGAACCTTGGCAACATGTGCAAAAACAGCTGGCTAGGAACAGCTGCAAATCAGTGCTATTTTATAGTTATGAATATATGTAAAAATTGGTTAAAAAAATAATTCAGTCAAAAACATTTGTTGTGCTTGTGATATGAACAGGCACTGTATTTCAAGGCATTGTTAATATTATCTGCTTTACAACCAAATAACTACAGAAAAGAAATTGTTTGACTTGATTTTCTTGGCCTCCATTTATGTTGTAGAATGTCAAGAAAAAATAAAAATTGCAAGCCTGCTCTCCTATGACCAGCATTCATGTATACTCAGAGGCTTTTAATTTATGAATGAACATTTCCCATTCCCTTCCAACAAGTATTTTGAACTGAGCCTTACGGTCCTTTTTATAGTCATTATCTTGCTTTCTTTGAAATAATCTCTGAGACTTAGGGTTTCCTTTAGTGTTTTGTCCTCTTCTGCCTTAACAGTGAAAAGGTACCAGAGCAGAGAATAGAGCAGTCAGACCAGCCTCTCTGCTCTGCTTGTCAGGGTGACCTTGAGAATATATGTTTCTCCCTTATGCCTTAGCTCTTCTAGCTAATAGGTACAGTGCCTTAAACTTGTATCACAGTATGAGCCATTTTCATATGTATTATCTTATTGAACTGTCCAAAATTCCTTTGAAATAGATAAAGCAAATAGTATTTTATTATTATGAAGATGATACTGGGAACCAAGAGAAATGAATGGTTTATTTAATGTCCTTCAGGACATTGGTGCAGTAGCATCTGATCTAGTTCATTGTGGTATGTAAAATAGAAGCTGAAGGCTTAGGAGAAACCTAGTTTGTGGAAGAGCTAGGGCCAGAGCCCACATACTTTACTTCTTAATTCTGCCTTTTTTTTTTTTTTTAACCATGCCCCACTTTTTAAGAGTGTTTATAGTCAAATAGAGATTTGGTAATATTACCTACAACTAATTTTCTCTCATTTTACTTTCATCTTCTTTGCTAGATGCTTTATCTGTGGTTTTTGAGGTCATGATGCAAGAAGCCTTTGAAGTGCCTTCCACCCAACTTCTCTCCCTCTATGTTTTGTTTCATTGCCTGGCAAAGAAGACAGACTTCAGTGTAAGTGATCTTCCCGAAAGCAATATTAAGAACTTTAGAAAAGGCAAGCAGGGGCTTGCTCTCAAAAGCTAGAAAAAGCCGTCTGCCGGCACAACCAGGAATGAGTGTTCATGCTATACATCTTAGTTACTGGCTTCTAACTAATGGAATTGGTTGTTCTTCCACTTGAGAGAGTCTCAAAAGAAAGTCCTTGTGCATATTTTGAAACTTGAGCTACGCCGAGTGCACCTCAGACATTCAGAAACAGGTCATTGGTAATCATTGAGAGCTGGACATGGCATGTCAAAGAGGCAGTGAGGCAGCTAACGTTGACCATTACCTGGGGTATTAAATACTGATTATTTCATTTGTATCAGTATTTTCCTAAGGTTGCTCTAGGGCAGTTCCGTTCTGGAGAGTCTAGAATATCAAGTTTTGGTTTCAGGTCTTAGGTTTGAGTATTTAATGCTTATTGTCGTCCTAAGAATAACAACAGCAATAACTGATATTTTATGTAGCACTTACTTTACACCAGCCTATGTTCTTGTTATATATGTATTAATGCATTTAATTCTCACAACAACTCTAGGCAGATAAGGAGACTGGGGCCTAGAGATGTTACAGAGCCACCTGGTAAAGCCAGGCAGTCTGCCTCTGCCATCTCCCCTTAACCTCAGTTGTAACATCAAAAAAATCCCAGTTTGGGTAGGAACTGAAGAGGTCATTTAGTCTAGTCCACATTGTAAAGAGTAGGTGTTATGTTATGCCCTTCTGAGTGTCATAGTCTTACAGTATACCCCACATTCATTATTAATTCATTAGATATGCTATATTGAACACATACAAATTCCATACATTGGCAAGTGCTAGCTATATAATGGTGAGCAAACATTTCCTGCTTACTATCTTGGAAGAACACAGATATTTAAATGAAACAATCACACAGGCATAAAACTGCGACTATTATGAGCACTCCAAAGGAGAAATCTATGAAAAGACTATATTATAGGGAGTTTTGTCTTTTAAACTTAAATTGGTTAGGAAGGGCTTCCTTAAGGAAATATTTATTAGGTTACTATTTGAAGGATGACTGGTAATTAACTGGCTAAGGAGGGGAAGAACAGTCCAAAAAGAGACAATAACATGTGCAAATGCTCTGTGGCAGAAAACTTAGTGAGCAGAAATGAGCTGGAAGAAGAAAGTCAATGTAGTTACAAACAGAAGATGGTAGGGAGGATGTGGAGTGAGATAGGGCTGGAGAATGTAGGTCATACTGAGCCATTTTGTGTTCATCCTAAAAATAGTGAGAAGCCCTTGAAAAGTTTGAAACAGAGGGTATGTAATAATCCAATCTGTTTTGATAAGGTCCTTCTGGCAGTACTCTGGATAAGCTATCAGAGCAGGGCAAGGATGGCTATGGTCAGACCATTTGAGAGGCCACCATGAATCTGTACAAGGGATAATGGTAGCATAGAGAGTAGGACGTGATGCAGTTAGAGAGTAGCCAGTGGGCATCTTTAGGAGGTAAATAATAAGATGAGGCAGGGAAGCAGGGGTCACATATTCTCTCCTCAGTTTCTGACTTATACATCTGGATGGAAGGGTTTCCATGTGTTGTCTGCAAAAGGGAACTTTGGGAAAAGACTGGATATTTTAAGAAAAATCATTAATGTGGCTCTGAACATGTTGCATGTTGAAATTCATTTGAGACAGTCACAAGATTTCACCAAGGAACTGGGGCTTAATGGAAAGATAGACTGGAGATATAATTTTGGAGACTTATATCCATGAGTAAATGTTTGCAAATAAGCCAGAAAGCAAATGTAAATCAGGAATGTGTGGGGCCACAGAATCCTCAGGAAGACAGCGTCTACTATGTAGAATGCTTCCAAAGAGGTAGGGTAAGATGAGGAATAAAAAAAGTTCATTGCATTTAGTGGCATGAGAGGCACTAAATTGTAACCTTGTTTCCTTAAAAGTAATGGAGCAGGAAACCAAATTGGAATGGTTTGTAGAATGATTTAGAGGTATAGACAAGTCTTTTGGATGTCTAGCTATGAAGTAGAGAGTAAAGAGGGGAAATTGGGAGAATGAGGATTTGCTTTGTATTAATAGAAGAGGCAAAGCATAAAATTGGAAAACTTTGAGGGCATTGATGAAACTGTACCTGAATTAGTCCATTATAGTATCTACAATAGAAATTAAAGACTTGGGCCAGGTACAGTGGCACATGCCTGTAATCTCAGTACTTTGAGAGGCTAAGGCAAGAGAACTGCTTAAGGTCAAAAGTTTGAAACCAGGCTAGGCAACATAGCAATACCTCATCTCTACAAAAATTGAAAATATAAAAAAGATATTAACCAGGCATGGTGGCACATGCCTGTAGTCCTATTTACTCAGGAGGCTGAAGTGGAAAGATCCCTTGATCCCATGAGTTTGAGGTTACAGTGAGCTGTGATCATGCCTCTGCATTCCAGCCTGGGCAATAGGGCAAGACCCTGTCTCCAAAGAAAAAAAAGAGAAAAGAAACTAAAGGCTTGGAAGAGATCTGTTATTTTATGTTGACACATGAATAGCTTCATATAAGCAGCAGTAGTTGCAGTATTCCCAGACAATGATCAGAAAATTTCTAAGACAGTCATCTGTTTGTTTTCATTCATCTTTTCTGAAGTCCTTTAGAAGTATCACCACCCTTGCTGGACTCCTAACACATCAAAGATATCTATTGCTTAGATATTGTAGCGTTCATTTGGCTTTAACCCCTACTACATCCTGATGCTGTTGCTCATGTTTTTCCCTATGGGGGGGAAATCATGTTTTTAAGTCTCCTTATGTATTATTCACGGGCCCCACTTTTCATGCAGTTTTAGGTGGGGAGAATCAAACTTCTTAGAGTGATTTGCTTTTGAAAGTAAAATGACCTGGTTTTTAATTATCAGCTCTTTTATTTACCTGTGCTGCAGAAATCCTTGCGGGGGAGTTTTGTTTTTCTCCCAAGGTTTTTTTTTTTTTTCTCGAAGACTGGGGAACAACCTCAAGAAACGATACTCGTATTACACAAAGGCTATTCACAGTAAAGACGTTTAGGTGCCTGTTAACACCTGGGGTGCCTCACTTGCACATGGCTGCACCTGCAGGCTGCGGACATTATTCATTCTCTGTTCTCCCTAACCTCTGGGTACAGAAACCAGTGCAGGGCAACCTGAGCTTAATGTTCTATGTTTTGAAGCCAGAGTTAAGGCTCCAGCCCTAGTCAGTGTATACTAATGTGGGACCAAGAAGATCACAGATCCCACTGGGGAGTTGCCAAGGCTCTCCCCTGGCTGCATTGCCAGCAAGTCCTCTAGTCATTGTTGTTACTAGTCTGCAGCAGGTTTAGCAATGCTTGTATTTTTGCTCTTTGTTTCCCTGCTGTCTCAAAAGGCTTCAATTTTATTGCAGCGTAATTTTGCACCCTGGGTTGAAAGAAATGATCACTAAGTGTTTCTGATTGCCTAATTTGTGTTTGAGAGGCACAAATCTATCTAAAAGCAACTTAATAGTGGTATTTATCCTAACACTCTGAAGAAGTCTTATCATTGCTAAATTGTTTAAAATTCAAAAGCTTGCTCCATCAGGCCACAGCAGTGTGAGTGACTATCGGGCCGACAGCATGTTGAATCAGTACTGATCGTCTCAAGTGACTGTTGGTTTAAGGTGTACTCTTTATTTTTGTTTTGTTTTGCTTTTCTTACTGTAAAAGAAATGCTTATTCATTGCCGAATTTTTGGAAAATAATAAAAGATACAGAAAAGAAAACCAAAATTGCTCATAATTTCACTACCCAAAAATCCATTAACATCTAGAGTATTTCTTTCCTATATTTTTCTTTAGGCATGTATACTTTTATTTACAAAATTAGGATTATGATGTATATATAGCTTTGTGCTTCTTTGTTTACTTAATGTTATAACATGTTCTTTTCCTCATGTCATTCATTAAAAGTCCCATTTTTGTATAAAGTACTCAGTGCTTGGATGGACCATGATCCAGTATATTCTGTTGCAGTGGGAAGAGGAGAGGAACTTCGGTGCATCCCTATTGCTTCCAGGTCTGAAACAGAAAAACTCAGTGGGTTTCAGTTCCCAGTTATATGGCTGTGCACTTCTTGGTAAGCTAAATGATCCTTACAAATATTGTTCTTTGGCAGAATTGTTGCATTCTTCTAGTTCATAATAAAATTATAATTTGATTTAAGTTACCAGTGAAATCCAATTAGCCTTCATTTTTAGACATAAAAATAGACCTTGACGGCCTTACAGTTACTCCATAAGAGAGTAAAAAGGGTTCTTAAAATCTGTCACCAGTGGTAAAGCAAGAACTAGTTCTGATGGCCATAGATAATAATATTTAGTGGCAATCAATGTGAAGAAGGGATAAAGAAAGGGACGTTCTAACCCTATTTAGGGAATAGAAACTGAGAGCACAAGTAGAGCACTTCAGGAAAAGCGGAATAGCTTATGGGTCCCGTGTAACTGCACCAGGAGGTATGATGGTGGCTTTCCTTTTGTGCCCTGATTCCACTGAAAATCAGACAGGTTAAGAGGACAAAGCCTCCCGAAGAGTGGCCTCAGAACCTGGGTTGTATGGAATCTGGGCAAATAAGATTCAACCTAGGCCAGGCATGGTGGCTCACGAGGTCAGGAGTTCGAGACCAGCCTGGCCAACATAGCAAAACCCTGTCTCTACTAAAAATACAAAAATCATCTGGGCATGTGCCTGTAGTCTCAGCCACTCAGGAGGCTGAGGCAGGAGAATCGCTTGCACCAGGAGGAGGAAGTCATGGTGAACTGAGTTTACACCACTGCACTCCAGCCTGGGCAACAGAGAGAGACTCTGTCTCAAAAAAAAAAAAAAGATTCAACCTAAATATACATAAAATGTTGTCCTTATTTACAGAAGGTTTATTAAATGCATATTATTTTATTACTGTCCCATCATCTCTTAAGTAATTAGGCATCCGTCAATTATACATTGCTTCTGCTACCTTTGTTTTTTGAAAATCACAAAGTTATGGCAGTTTGACTGCTTTTGAAGTTGATGTTATTGACTGTCGGATTAACAAAGTATTTGACCACTGTTTTTAAAAATCATTTTTTCCTAATTTGCCACCTCCTTTTAATATTGATTCACATGCATTTTCCTTTGCTTTCAGATTAGCATTCAGGACTGTCATACAGCCTGGATTGGTCAGAAGTTGACAGGGCAAAGAAAATATACTTTGTGGTTGTTTGTGAGCAGAGGCTCTGGTTCTTTGTGATGGCAGCCATCAGATCAGAAGCTCTTTGCTCTCATTGTGTCATATGCTATGCAGCCTCACTCAACCCTGATGGAAGCAGCTGCCCACAATGTAACTGCAGTCCAGCCCCAAGCACCTTAAAGGTCTAAAATTAGCTGTCGCCTGATAAGCTTTGTCTGTTTGTGTCCTACTCTGGCTTTCCCCAATCCTCCTTCCCAGGAAAGATAAAAGAAGGTGGATTTAAGACTGGGCAGCTCAAGGTGACTTTGGTCATTAGTGCAGAGAGGTTCTACGCCACAGGAATACAGACAGCCATCTCCAGAAGACCCTGCTGTCTGGGTGTCCACAACTTGAACTCCAGGTGTGATGGCTTGAGGTACCCAGAGAAGCATTCATGTACAGAGATCCAAAGGGATCATGAGAACTCTGTGATTTTAAAACTGATGAAACTCAAAGGAAAGAAGGGAAAGATGAGAGTTTTTTATAAGGACAGTAGATTGGGTGTTTTGAAGGATTTCAAAAAATGTCAAACATTTCCTAGCAGGGAAAGTTGTCGGAGGTTGACAAGATTTTCGCAGTAGGAATGTTGTGGGATTTCTTTTTCTGGGGAAGATTTTGTTTTTGAAACAAAAATTGTATCTCAGTTGACTTGTTTTTTAAGGGTGTCCTTATCTAAAGGCATATATATCAGCTTCTCAATTGCCCTCAGCCCAGTGGTTTATACATCTTCAGGAAAATCTCCACCAGCCCAAAAGAGAAAGAAGAAAAACAAGTTCATCTAGTTTATATTGAAAAATGGATTCGGTGAATTTTACCACGTTCTTCATTATACATCTGAAATGTCACTGGATGAGATGAGTCTCTTGGCACAGATTAGAAGTGAGCTGCCAGGTGAACATTCACTTGGGGCTTCAGGTCCTCAGTCTTAGAAATGGTAGGAAGACATGGCTGAACATTCTTTGTTGTTCTTTCTGATCACAGGAAAGGTGGAATTGCAGCAAGGGCTACGGGCTGTGTACCACAACATGCCTCTGATATGGAAGCCAGGCTACCTTGACAGAGCCCTTCAAGTGATGGAGAAAGTAGCTGCCTCCCCAGAAGACATAAAGCTGTGTAGAGAAGCGGTATGTTCCTCAGACTAATATGGTGAGATTTAGCCATCTGTTTCCCATAACCTGAACTTTGAATTTGTTTTGTCTTTCCCCTGCCCCCACTTTCTTTATTTCTATAGAGTAGATACTTAGCCAGCTGAAAAAATGAAAAACCACAGACATTTTCAATGCTCCTGACCAAAGGCAGTAGAAAATATGATTAACATTGATTTATAGTTCATTGTCTAAGGAAAAAAGTATTCCACTGCCTCATCCCTCACCTCTCACCCAAAAGCATCTCAGTGGGAACTCAAGAGAGGGTAAAATTTCATTTTAAATATGTTTGGGTGTTTCTGTACCCCCATGTAGTCCTGAGAGGGTACATAGCATTTTTCTCCATAAAAGTCCTCAAGAAATTAATCTGGGTTGAGATGGAACCATCTTAAACCATTCTGTGTGAATGTGTGATGCTGATGAGATCTGGGTTAGATATTTCTTTCAAAGTTCTAAGGCGTTCGCTTTACCAGGACAAGAACACTACCCTCCCACCAGCCCCAAAGGTCATGCCTCTTGGTCACCTAGGACCCTTGACAGTATAGGGTTGCTTGAACTCCAGGAGACATGATGAGCCTTACATCACACAGGCAACTGCAGTGTCTGCTCCTGTCCAAGCAGCTTTTACAGCCAGTATGAGGCCTAGAAGGACATTGGTTGTCTTGTTACCATGGTGTAAAGGTGACCATAGAGCCACGTATTTGTTTTGTCTTGACTCTGGTTACTAGGGCTTACCCCTAGGCTTTCATTTCAGTCCTGAGATGGTCAGGTCTGGTGTCTGTACTGTCACCTTATACTTATGTCTAGTGAACCATTATGCTGGTAGCCAGACATTTATAACAAAGGATAAAGCATGTACATTTCTCAATATACTTATTTTAACCCTGCTGTAGTCAGTACTGGTGATTGAAAACACAAAATTATACATAAATCCTTTTCCAGGGAAATATTCCTTCCAATCTGAGCCAGATTTGCATTCTTTGCATTCTAACAGTAGAAAATGAGTGCACATGTCGGCAAGAATGTGCTATGTGTCCAGTTTGGCTGTTATATATTAGTGGTATTAAAAGGACTTGGCGTATTTTCAGGATTTCTGTTCTGATGTGACATGGACAGGATTAACTGGTTTCCAGGCAGGTGTTTCTGCTGGCCTTGCTGTTGCTAGTATCCCATTTCTAATGATGAGGCCCTCTGTGAGTCAGGGGAGGTGTGCCTCAAAGTGAAAGTGGAGGGGAGAGGGGTCAGAACAAAAAGAAACCCTCCATTTTTAAATTAACTTCCTAAGTCACAGAAATTACCTCACTCAAATGAATTTCATACATGGGTCTCTGGTCTTTGCCAGCAGCTTATGTGGATTATACTGATCCTTAATTTACATATACCACGTGAGCTAAAATCTTTCTCTGAGTGGGGGCCCTTGCTTATTTCCAGAGGCTTTAACATACCCTTAAAATGGCCTTTGGTTGGTTGTGGTCTGTAATGATCTATCCCTTTGTCCCAAATCCAAACTGATTGAGGAAAAAAGACATGGAAGAGGGAAGTACTTTATCCCATCAAGCATAATTCCTGGATTCCTACCTGGCTAACTAAAAGTGAACTTAGCTGCCGTTGTACTGATTCACTTGCACAAATAATTCTTAGCTCACTTATTTGGTATTTTGTTCTTGCTTGGTCTTTGAGACAGGGCCTCACTGTGTCACCCAGGCTGGAGTGCAGTGGTGTGATCATGGCTCACTATAGCCTCGGCCGCTAGGCTCAAGGCTCAAGCAGTCTTCCCACTTCAGCCTCCTGAGTAGCTGAGACCACAGGGCTGCACCACCATGCTTGGCTTTTTTTTTTTTTTTAAGTGACAGAATCTCCCTATGTTGCCCAGGCCGGTCTCAAACTCCTGGGCTCAAGCAGTCCTTCCACATCATCCTCCCAAAATGCTGAGATGACAGGCATGAGCCACCATACCCAGCCTAGCTTGCTTATTTATACTATTTGTTTTGTACTATTTTTGATGCCATCTGATAGGGTGTTTATAATGTGAAAAAATATAACCATTTATATTTCCTACAGTTTTATAAGAGCGATCTTCTCACAGTTTTTTAGAGCTCATTCTTCCTTTCGCCTTCTTCAGTCTCTCTTCATCATGTGCTTTTGGGCCATAAGACATGTAGTTGCTGACCCTCTTTCTGCTCCACAGCTCGATGTGCTGGATGCTGTGCTAAAGGCTCTGACTTCTCCGGCTGATGGGGCTTCAGAGGAACAGTCCCAAAAAGGTGAAGACAACCAGGAGTCAGAAAAACTGGTGGAGCAGTTAGACATTGAGGAAACAGAACAGTCCAAGCTTCCTCAATACCTGGAACGATTTAAGGTGAGTCATAGCAGAATTGTGTCTCCTCAGCGGTGCATAAAACACACTCCTCTCCTGTGGTGATGGACAAGCATTCTTTTCGTGCATCAATGTCACACACAAAGAGACATTAAAAACTGACACCAGAAATTACATTTTTATTGCTTTGCACAGGAAGTGGTCTTAAAAGAAACCAATGGAATTTTTATGCTCCTTTTTGTACTGGGGCAAATTAGTCAGTTTTGTTCACTAAGGTAGCATGTAATTACCCACTCATTCCTAATATGCTGCGCCTGTTGGCTAGATAGTTGCTTGCCTCCTCATAGCAATAACCTGACTCCCACCCCAGGTGGAAAGTGGCCATTTCTCCATCTTGCACTAAATGTGCTTGATAACCCAGACACCCAGTTAGACGTTATAATGCCATATTTGAGTATGTAGAGGTAAGACGCAGGCATTTTTCTCTGCTCATCTTTGGCAGCTTTATGTTGTTTACTTAATACTGCATGGCAGCTGTAAACAGTTTGACTGTTTCTTTCCAGAACAGCCCTGAGCACTCAAGCCATCTTTGGTAGCTTCTAACTCTGTACATCCCAAAATGCTCTATGATCAGTGTCAGGAAAGAACCATGTTCAGCGTTTGAATGCTTGGCTTCTTAGCTGCTTTGATTTTTGTCCCGTGCAAAGGGAAAATAATGTGCTGCCAGAATGGGAATTCTTTGTACAGAGCAAAAAAAGTTCCCATTTGTTGGGTCACTTTGGTACTGTTAATATGTAAACTTTGCTAGATTATTGTGTTTAAATCTTTTCAGTAGTTAGACTGGACCTATTTCCCAGTGTTGGAAGGGGGATCCTGTTGTATTTTTAGCAGCAGTTTCTCCCGGCAATTCTATAAAGTCATTGCTCAACTTCCCTCTTAAAATTTGAAACTGAGAAGGAAAGGTTAATCAGTGTTCCCAAGGTACCTGGAGAACTGGCAGTATAGCGGGGCTGAGAATTTGCATGCCTTCCCCTTCAAGCTGTTTGCTTAACCTTGTATATTTGGAAAAGCTAAAGAAAAAAATCCACTTAGCCCCATTTACTATGATTCATTGCATTCACATTGACCAAGGTTGCCACACCATCCTAAAAATTAAAACTTCCTTCTCTTATTTCTTACATACTTTGCCTCAGAGAACAGAAACCCGTGCCTGCATTAAGTTCTCAGCCCTATTCCTCTACAAATGCATTTTTATGAAAATCGAAAAAAAGGACAAGTGTTTATTAACTCCTAACTGTGTGTTGGGCACCAGTGCATTTCATTTCTCCTCGCAAGAGCTCTGGATGCTAGAGACTGCATTCTCATGTTAGATGACAGCAAAGCCAAGAAAAACTAGCCCATAGTGACTTACTTTAGATTTGAACAAAAGTTTGCTGACTCACAGTTGAGTCCTCATTCTGGCATCCCAAGCTGTCTGGTTGGCCTCAAACCACATGGAGAGCGATATCAGAGAGAAATCATTTTCGTTTTACATTTCCTTTTCTTCCCATTGCCTGAATTTTGTTAGTCTGAGGCCATTTGTTTAGGAGCCATTTTTATATGACTGACTCACACTAGACCTCTGGCCCCTTCTGGAGCCTAGGCACCCTGCCCACCCCCAACCCTGTTACTGGAGCAAGCCTCCTCCCCTGTGCCAATGAGTGGCATTTGTTTGTGGAACATGGGGGTGTGTGGTATGAGCTACAGCTGGGCCCATAAGTGCCTCTCTCTAATGAGAGAGTGCATCTTGAAGTACTCAAATAGATTAACGGTTTAATACTTACTTCTCCCGGAACAGAACACCAACCAAACCAAGCTGCCATTTTGATGAAGCTGTAAGCAGGCAGTGCGTAAAGGCTGACCTGCATTGGAGCACAGCAGGTGGGCGCCTCGAGCATTGCAGGCACTCAGGGGAGCTGTTCCTTGAACTGATTTCCATCTGTTGAGAGGAACGCCAAGAAGGCAAATATTTGTTTCAGTTATTCTGAAGGCACAGGTACGGACGGGCTTGCTCCAGGTACCAGATGCTTCTGCCATTTTGTTGCATATTAGAATTCTTATTCTTAGAGTTTGCTGCTTGGTTTGGTTTAGGTCAGGGTGGAAACATAGATTCATTACAGCCTGACTGTCTTTGTGGTTTAAAACACAGGGAGACAGAGCATATGGAGTTCCATTTACTATTTGTGAGTGAAAAGGGAGAAATCACATGTGTTGCATCTTAGCAAAATTGCTGAGCTGAAAAACATAGCAAAAGCTAACAGCACCTAGAAGAAAGGCAGCATGACAATTTCCTAGCAAAATGTTTTTTTTCTACAAGCAAAACGTGTAGATATGTTGCAGGTGGCTTCATCTTTCCTCTTTGTACCCTTCTCTCACTTCTCTACCTTTCTCTTTTTTCCCCTTTGTTTCCAACAGGCCTTACATTCTAAGCTTCAGGCTCTGGGCAAAATTGAGTCCGAAAGTCTTTTAAGTGTGACCACGCAGCTTGTGAAGGAAAAACTCTCCTCCTGTGAAGCAGAGGACATCGCCACCTATGAGCAGCAACTACAGCGGTGGCATCTAGACCGTGTACACCTGATCCAGAGAGAGCAGGAACAGAGGGAGAAAGCGAAACAGGAGTTCCAGGCTCGGAAAGCAGCAAAGGCATCTGCCTAAGACGGTCCTCCGGGGCCCAACCCCTCCCACAGAACTTCACTGGACCCCATGCCAGGACTCGGCAGTGACCTGCACAGCAGCCTCAGCTTCCTCTACCCACCTTCTCCTTTTCTTAAAGCAGGCTATGTGCTCTACATGGCAAGGCACCATGACTCCCCATTGAGATGCCAAGAAGGGCTGTGGAATTATGCAGGTGGCTTGTGGACAGACTGAAGTCACCGACTGAATAGCTTCAGGAGGGCTCTCGAGGTTCATGATGGAGTTCCTGGGGCACAGGGATTCATTTTGAGCATTAAAATTCCTAAGACCCAGTGAAGGTACTGGGAGAAACCAAGGCTAAAGAGTCAGGTCTAAAGCACAGGCTTTTGTTTTTAGGTTTTTTGTTTTTTGAGACGGAGTCTTGCAGTGTCACTCAGGCTGGAGTGCAGTGGTGCAATCTCGGCTCACTGCAACCTTCGACTCCCGGGTTAAAGCAATTCTCCTGCCTCAGCCTCCTGAGTAGGTGGGATTACAGGTATTTTTAGCAGAGGTAGAGTTTCACCGTGGTCTCAAACTCCTGACCTTCAGTGATCTGCCCACCTCGGCCTCCCAAAGTGCTGGGATTGCAAGCGTGAGCCATTGCACCCAGCCAAGCACAGGCTATTGAATAGTCTCCGTCTCCCCAGCCCAGGCACATGAGGCCAAGGTGAACTGTGCATCCTGAGACCTTGTGTCCCTGAGTCTCCTCTCTGAGTGCAAGCTGCACTGTGAGCTGACTGTGGGAGGCTCACACATTCCCACCTTCTTTCTGCCACATCTCGCCCTTCTGGACCTGCACTGGGGAAATTCAGGACAGGAGTGAACTCAAGGCCATGAACCCAGTGGATTTCAATTTTTAGGCCCCCCACAGGGACGTTTTTAGGATGTAAGAGTTTGAGCAGAAAGCCGGCTCTGGCATGAAGCCTTTTTAGCTTGCCTTCGCCATCTTATTGGGGTAACATTTTTTTTTTTCCAACTTTTTTTTTCCAAAACATTGTCTCAACTCCTTTATCAAGTAGGTAAAAATGAGCCCTTTGTATACACACAGGCACATGTGCACACACACAGCTTGTGAACAGACATTTCTGTTAAAGAAGGTAAAAAATGAGAGATGGGTCTTGAAGTGCATAGAAGGTATGAATATTGTAAAACTGTCAGGAGACGAGAAATGCCTTTTTGAAGTTTCTCTTCTGTGAAAGGGGTCAGGGCAGATTTTGCTTACTGCGTAGGGTTGCTTTTAGGTATAGTGGTATAATTTTATTCAAGATTGTGCCCTTTGATGAAAAACCTCTGGAAATAAATGTTCTGGGATTATGTTGGTGTATTCTTTATCTTTGGGGGAAGGGAGGAAGCAGAGAAGGACTCATCATTACTGTTACTAAGATTTTGAGGAGTATATTTTCAACGCTCCTCCATTAGACGGTGGGATTTATTGTAATAATGATAACTACCACCACTAATATTTATTAAGGTCTTAACTGTAGGCCAAAAACCCAAGCCGCCCTATGAGGGAGGTACCAGTGTCCCTATTTTACATAACTTAGCAACTCTCCTCTGCTCCTCTCACTGCCTGCGGCCTCCATGTGGAACTGCAGTCAGGAGCCAACATAGGGCCCTTGAGGCTAGCAAAGCTGCAGGCTTACTTAGGTAGAGGGCCGTGACCAAAAGTCAGTACCGACGTTTTGGTTTACCAACAACAGGGGGGCTTTTGCAGCCACTTGACATTCAAGACAAATCAAAAGGCAACTTTTGCTCAGTAATGACTGTCACAACATGAAGTATCTGGTTAAGGCTTTGGCTCATCATTTTGCCTTCATTTTTCCTCCCCCTCCAGCCGCAACGTTTACTCCCGGTCTTCACCAAAAGAGACCACTTCTGCACTGACTGTGGTCCCACAGGAATTCCTATGTTCCCTGCGCCTTAGGATTCCTTCCACACTTGAGCCCCATTTCTGAGGATTCTTAGAGTCTTTCCCCTCCAAATCGTCTGTCCTTTCACTGTGTCCTTGTCTCCTGAGCTATAGGATATTATCTCACCTTCACAATTAGCACTTCCCAATACAGTTGTCCTTTGTCCCCTTCCCTCATGTCATCTTCCATATTCTTCCATGTGGATGGAGAAACTGCTCTTGGTGCCCTGGCCTCTGGAGATGACCTCAACTGGGTCATCTGTCAGTAACAATGACCTGCCATAGTCACAGGCAAACCTCCAGCCTCATGCCGTGAATCTAAGATCTTAGACCCTGAACTCCCCATTCTCTCAATCTTGTCTCGTACCATGACTGCAGCTGAACCAGCTTGCCCTGTAACTTCCTTCCTGTTAACCCTTCACCCCATCACTCCAACTCTTGATCTCCAGAATTTGCTTCTCTCCCAGTGTAGGCGCCATGGTCAGTCATTCCCCTGATGTTCTCATTAGCAGCTTCATTTTCTCTCACTCCCTTTATCCACGCTCACTTGTCAGCCTTTGACCTACACCCTTGCACCCATCTGCTATAGGTAGAATTGTGTTTCCTAAAAACGGTAAGTTGTATCCCTAATCCCCAGTCCCTTAGAATCTGACCTTAGTTGGAAATAAGTTCTTTTATTGAGGTAATCAAATTTAAAATGAGATCATCAGGGTCAGTCTGATTTAATTTGGTGTTTTTTTTTAAAGGGGAAGTTTGCACACACAGACACAGAGGGAAGATGAGCTTGTGACTCTACAGGCCAAGGAACGCCAAGGCTTGCCAGCAAACACCAGAAGTTAGAGGTGGTAAGGACGATTCTCCTCTAGAGCTGTCAGAGAAAGCTTGGTCCTGCAGACACAATCATTTCTGAGTTCTTGCCTTCAGAACTGCTATTTTAAGCAACACTTTTTTGGTAGTTTGCTACCTCGGCCCTGGGAAACTGATAACACCACCATTCATTTTCTGTTTGATTCTGACTTACTAAGTGTTGATACATAAAGTCATAATATTTGGCTGATTAGATTCTTCTACACAATTGTGGCTGTTCTCTTTAACTCAGTAGTCCTTCCTTTAATTGACTGTCATTTTTACTTCCATAGCTTTTATATCCTGCATTAGCTTGACGCCCTGCCCTCAGAACTACAAGCAGATGTTCTCTTCATCATCCTTCCTACTTTCAAATAATAGGTATCCCCACCTCCTTTCCAAGACTTTTCATTTGTGACCTTGGCCCATACCCGCCCACCTGTTCTACACTCTTGTAGCATCTTGCAGCATCTCTGTTGATTTCTTCTTCTAATTCTGTAGTCATCCAAGACCTTATTCAAGGCTTTTTAACAACAAAAAGGCATTTACCCTGCCATCAGTCAAGCTGTTATGCTATGTCTTCTTCTTCCTTACGTGTATCCAAACTTAAAGGGTGTCTACACTTACTGGCTCATTGCTCATTCATTAGATGCTGAGGATTTGGCTTACAGCTTTACCACGCTGCAACACATCATGATCGTCAACTACAGTGATCTGTTTTCCCCCCTTTTAAATGCTCTGCTCCATTCGGTGCCACTGACCACCCCTTAGAAGCTTGCTGTCTGTAGCAGTCATACTGTTTGTTCCAGCACTGCTTTTGCAAGCTCTCGAGTGTTTGGCATATACTATGTACAAGGCACTACACTAAGCGCTGTGGAATTTACCAGGATGGATATACTATAGATTCCACCCTCAAATAACTTAGATTCTAGTGAGGCTAGCACATTCACACCTGTCAATACAGAGCTGAAAGGTGTCGTTAGACAAACAGTTAATGCATGTGGGAGTTCGCAGGAAGATCACTTTAAGCCCAGAGATGGGAAGAGCTCTAATGAAGGGAAGTAATTGCCTGCTTTGTGCATTAATTAGTTACATATGAGTGCCTCAAGCTGCCCTGGGGTCCTCTTTTTTACAGAGGCTTATGCAGTGTGTTCATGAGAAAATATTTTAAATTAAGCTAAAATGAACAATTCAGATTAAACTTGTTTTGGCCCACATCCCATACTTACCTTGGCCATAAAAAGGAATAAAAAGGCAAAGTGGTAGAAAGAAGAGAGGAAGGAAAAATGATGAGGTACTGTGTGCCCTGGGGCTATGTTGCCTTGGCACCCAACCTTGCATTTTCTTTTCTGACCTTCTTGTTGGCTGTGGAATCAGATAGGTGTGTGAGAAGATTGGTTTAGATTCTACAAGAAGTAGTCAGAGGCCTTGAAAATAAGTTGATTATGCCAGACACGGTGGCTCATGACTGTAATCCCAGTACTTTGGGAGGCCGGGCAGAAGGATCACTTGAGGTCAGGAGTTCAAGACCAGCCTGCCTAACATGGCAAAACCCTGTCTCTACTAAAAATACAAAAATTAGCTGGGCATAGTAGTGGGCACCTGTAATCCCAGCTACTTGGGAGGCTGAGGCAGGGAATCAATTGAACCCAGGAGGCGGAGGTTGTGGTGAGCTGGGATTGAGCCACTGCACTCCAGTCTGGGTGACAGAGCAAGACTCCAAAAAAGTTGATTAAAACTTTTTTTTCCACACTGAAAACAATTAGCTTTGACATTCTTTGTTGTCTTTACTTTGCGTGTCTTCCCTGGAAATACACTGCAGCATTCTGTTTTTTTCTTTTTGCTGCAGCTATCTGATGAGCTTTGGGAAACCCTCTTTTTTAACCACTGAGGAGAGGAAAAATAGCAGCTGTGGTGGAACACAGAACTTAGAATTAGGTATGAAAAGCATTTCTAGAAGCTCGTTGTGTCACTTTGGCCCCCCGGGAAGCAGATCAACATTGGAGTCAGAGGTAGCAGTGAAAGCAGTTTTGGGGGGCGGATAAAGCCTGTGAAAAATGAATGAAGGTGGAATTAGGATTGGGTGGGGAGGTCTTCAGGTGGAGGTCTTACATCTGCAAAAGGAAAGGGGAGGAAGCACCACCGCCTAGCCTCCGTTGCTTGGGAAGCGGGGAGACTTTTCAACACCCATCATCCCTATTGCCAGCAACACAGAGAGCAACCTCCTTTGCTCCGGGGAGTCCTAGTCTACTACCAAACCTGGGGACACAGGGGCCTGCTCACCAGTGCCATCTCCTAGTGCATTCCCGATGGCCTTGACAAATGGTGTGCTACCTGGCCCTCCAGGGAATGTAGTCCTCTGCTGGGTCTT